TTTATTTATTTATTTATTTGATTTATATCCCGCCCATCTGGTATAATTATACCACTCTGAGAGGCTAACAACAGAACAAATACAATTAAAAAATTAATCCATAAACATCCATTATTAACAGACATACTAAAAATAATAAATGATAGATAAGAAAAAGAAAAAGTTAAATTGTTTTCCAACTTAATCAATTAGAATCTAAGTTCGTAAGTCGAGTCCATATATTCCTATGAGAGCAGTTCGTAAGTCGAAACGTTCGTATGTCGAGCCGTTCGTAAGTCGAGACCCCACTGTACATAATGATCTTATTTAATACCCAAGAGAGTCAAGAATGACAGTGAAGAAATTAAGAGAGATATCTGTTTCCCTGGCAGCCTTCGATACAGTTACAAGTGTCCAGTGGTTGTGTGTGTGTGCGTTTCAGTTTTTTTCCCCATAAACCTGGAACATTACTGACCATGGGTTACTTTTCAAAATGCATTATTGAATGGCACCTCTTTAACCATATTCAAAATGGGGAATCAACAGTTGTTTGTTTCTTCATGACAATAATCACAGGAACAATTCCTATATACAACCTCAAATCATCACAGCCCGTCACCAAGCCTAATTCTAACTTCCTCCCCCTTTCTGTTTTAAGACTGTGACTAAAAAAAGTCAATGACTTCAAAATCAGCCACCCACTTAACATCTTTTTTGTGTTGTTTTTGGCCGCATGAAGTTTTAGCAGAACTCTCTAGGGATGTTGGCAAGTCTTTGGGTCCAAGTCCCCAAGTTTTTGGTACTGACTCCAAAGCCCCAAGTCCCTATTAAAAACAAGTTTTTCCCTAGAAAAAGGGAGGGGTGCATGGGGTCTGTGTGGAGAGGTGTGAGGGTTGTGAATAATCCACTTTTGTTCCCCTCTGGCCTTCCCCTGAAAACAATAGGAAAAGTTTAAAATTTGTAAAAAAAATGTACAAATCTTAGTTTGCTTATTTTTAAAACAGTTCTAGCTGAAATCAGCTTGAACAGGTTCCTCTCTCTCTCTCTCTCTCTCTCTCTCAATGATGCAAAAAGTTGCAAACACAGCTCAGAGACCAAGACATTAACAGCAGCTCTGCCCACCCAGTCGCAGAGAAGCACCCTCCCTCCTTCATCAGTTACACATGAGCCAGAAGCAGTTTCTGCAGTGGGATTTCCCTCTGCAATGTCTTAAACAAGAGGATTCCAACTGGAAAACAGAGCAATTTAAAATATACGTGAAGCAAGTTTTTTAAAAAACCCTAAAAGAATAGAGACTGAACTCAGAAAAGGGGCTCCAATCACAAGTCAAGTCGAAGTCATTAAAAAAAAGTAGAGTCCAAGTTGAGTCACTAGTGTGACTTAAGTGAGACTTGACAGTGAGCTATACAACTCAGGTCCCCATCCCTGGAACTCTATTCTATTCACTATGCATGTTGTTTAGTAAACTTTGAGTTAACCTAATAAAGGTATTTCTTTAATAAGGGTTATGCTATTTTTCCAATGTAGTTCTCCCCCCGCTTTCCTATTACAGTGGTGCCTCGCTTAACGAGTGCGCCGTATAACGATGTTTCCGTATAGTGATCCCTTTTTCGGGATCGCTATACGGAAACATACCCGATCGTCGCAATGGGGAAAACCCGCATTGCGAAGAGCGGGTATTGCGCCGGCCATTTTGGAGCCGCCGAACAGCTGATCAGCGGTTCCAAAATGGCCGCCAGAAGCCCGGAAATGGCTGCCGGCAGCCGTTTTCGCACCCTGCCCTCGCTTAGCAAAGGCGCGAAAATGGCTGCCGGCAATTGGAATCCTCGCTGAACGGGTAAGTAACAAAGGTATTGGAACGCATTAAACTAAGTTTAATGCGTTTCAATACATTTCCCCTACCCGTTTGGCGACGATTTCGCATAGCGAGGGTTAATCCGGAACGGATTAACCTCGCTATGCGGGGCACTACTGTATTATTGGTAGGTGGCTGGATAGTAATTTAGTAACTTAGGTACTAGTTGCCAAGCCAGAGGTTGGGGTTTCAATTCCAAATTGTTACCAAAATTGGGTTCGTATCTTTCCTAGGTGGGTATACCCAGTCTCCCAATGAAGACAGAGATAAATCAGACTGCTGTAAGGTCATTCGGGGGGGGGATATTCTTCAGAATAGGAGGCACAATCAGAGCTCATGCTAACAAAATGACCATGTGTCTCCAGAAACAAATGAAGAGGACTTAGTTTTAATACAGTAGTTCCCTTCTCCAGCTGTATGTTGCTTGATTATATTTCGTTGTGGAATTCCTGCCAGAGAAGATCTTGCAGTTACAATCACTCCAGTACACATCTTGAAGACAATTGGGGCTGCCAGGTCTATTTTACATATGATAAAACCCAGGAACTGTAGTGTTTTCAAAGCCAGGACTCTTATTTTTGTTGTGGTTGTCATTGGTGCTCTAAAACTGGAAGCATACTTCACAGTTGTGCTAACATTGTACTTTTAAAAATTATTTTTCCTTGCTGCTTCCTTTGCTTTTTAGTTTGTTCAGTTTGACCAGTCACTGTTAATAGAGAGGATTGCATTATCTGAGCAGCAATTATGCATTTGTGATTAGAGATGGGCATGAAATGAACCATGAAGCAAAAAAAGAAAAACTAAAACCAAAATCGTTTCATGGTTTATTTTGGGGTGCTTCAGGGAAACATGCCTGCCCAGAAAGAAACGGCAAACTATTATAGGCATTTGTGATTTGTTCATAGACTGTAACTTGAACATGCCAAATCCAATCACTAAACTTGAACTGACTCTTGGGCTTGCTCTCCTCTCCACCCTCTCCAAATTATAGCCCCACAAAGCAGTCTCCCCCAAGAAAGTGCTCTTTAGCCATCTGCTAAAAGGACCTGATGGGGGGGGGGCTTTAACTTGGATGGCCCAAATCCAATTTTCATCAAACTTGGAGGGGGTGGGGAGAAGAGTCAGCCAAGAGTCAGTCCAAGTTTGGCAAAGATTAGATTTAGGATATCAAGTTAGGTCTCCCAATGCAGCCCCCCCCCAGGAAAATGCTCTTTAACCAGCTGATAAAGAGCAATTTCCTGGGGGACTTGCTTTGGGAGGCTGTAACCTGGATGTCCTAAATCCAGTCTTTGCTAAACTTGTACAGATGGAAGGAGAGTCACCTGAAGACTTACAGCAAGTTTGGCATTTTTAACTCAAATGAAGGCTTTTCCTCCCCTCCTGGAAGTTCTGAATTGCACAAACCATAAAATTGTTCATTTCATCAGAAAGTTTGTGAAAGTCCATGGTTCGTTCATTAATAGCGATAAACCACAAACCATCATGAACTACCTTTTCCCCATTTTGTAATATATATTTGTGATCTTTCTGTGCTTCCCATCTTCCATGTGAGCTTTATCAACGAATCCCATGAATTGACAGAAAAATGTGGAAATCGTTAGCATGCATTGGCTTTCTATCTATCTTACAGAGTGGCCTAATAATTCAAGATACACTTCAATCCTATCATGTTATCTTGCCACCTTGGCAAATGGTTTGTCAGTTAAGCGGAGGAGAGGCAATTTGGTTTAAAAGTCCCTTTTGTAGTATGAACCTTAGTTCAAAGCCTTCATAAATACATTGAACCTTAGTTGTTTCTATAATATCTGCTCTTATTTCTTGTTTATGTCTGAATTGCAGGCTGCTTACTATGAAATAGGTTTTATAGTTTCAGCTGCTCTGGGAGTACTGTTTGTTGTATTCGTGCCTCTGGTGGGGCTCTGCTTCTGCATGTGTCGCTGCTGTGACAACTGCGGTGGAGAAATGCACCAAAGGCAGAAGAAAAATGCAGACTGCCAGAGGGGCTGCTTTGCTACAGTTCTTTTTGTTGCTGCTTTATTAATCAGGCAAGTATTAGCAACCCCAGCTCTGTGTAAATTTTGCTTTGGTATGTACCTGAGAATATTCTGGTCCTTTTCTGATTGAATTTTTATTCAGTGAGGAATAACATGCAGGAAGTTGACTTGAACCACTCCAGCTGTACTTCAGAATTCATTGCGTAGTTCTACTGAAATAGCTGGAACAGTGCTATATGATCATCAGCCTCACAGGATGTATTTAGTCACAAGAATGCGTAATTTCAGATAGATAACCTGTAAAAAAATAAAATGTTGTAATAACTTCCTAAATGTCAACAAAATTAAGATGGCAGGGATAAAGTTCTATAACTGTTAATTTCATACAGTGCATGCAGGCTTTTTCATGACAGCACTCAGATTTAGTCCTTCACCTAAAGCCTATAGTGCTACAGTCCAACAGAATATACAATATATTCTGATCATGTAGTTGGGTTTTTGAGATTCTTTTTTTTTTGTTTTTGAGAATTTGGTATGCAAAGTTTTGTTTGTATTATTTTCTAGAATGTTTCCCCTTCATTTATTTATTTATTTATTATTTATTTGATTTATATCCCGCCCATCTGGTATATTTATACCACTCTGAGCGGCTAACAACAACATATATACATTAATCCATAAACATCAGCTATTAACAAAACATACCAAAAAATAATAGAAGGTAGGTAAATAAGGGAGAACAATTAAATTAAATTAAATTCATGTTTGAGCTGGCCTTTCTTTTGCAAATCAGTTTGTCCAACTCTTCTTTGGTATTGGTATATCTGTTGCTTTGGTGGGAGCTTCTGTGAAAAGCTGGTCTGAATCAGTTTTGTAGTCAATTGAACTATTTAAAATTGCCTTGTCTTACTTCTGAGACAGTGCCATCCTGGTTTCCCCCATAAAAATACATGGTTTCCTTTGACTTCTCCCTTTGACTTGCATCTAAAATGTTGGCATACTCAAATGCCCACTGCTGTCCTTTGGCTGAAATCCTCATGTGCTGTGCAAGCTCGTTGATATAATCTGCCAGTGAGAATATTTAATTTAAATTAATTTAAAGTTTTGTATCCATTCGCCTTTCAGGTTTTGAGGCTCCTTTTCTAGCACATCCTTTACTTTTACACATGGATAAAATATAATAAAAGTTTACTTTAAGACTGCATCAAAAGGAAAAGGGTCAAAGGCATTCTCAAAGACAAAAAGTTCAGGAACATGTTACAGATGGTTAAAACAAAAATAGGCAAAGCATGTTTAAAATGCAAAACATAGAAACCTTTAGGCCTGAGAACATTTAAGAGCTTACACAGAATAAAACTCCCCAATAAAATTTTAAAAAAAACCTTGCTAATCTACTTCTAATACAAAAGTGGATCTCATTCTTAAGCTATTGCACAGCAGAAGAGCATGGTTGCATGAAAGAATGGTCTGGCATCGTCTACTATGGTATGATCTAGATATGGGATATTCATACTTGCATTCCTGGGTATACAAATATGAATATCAGCACCACAGGTATTTGCAAAAACTGAACCCTCCCCCCCAAACCAGCAGGTCTACTTACTGCTTGCTGCATGGTGTGCACAGTCAGCATCATTCTCATCACACCAATCCAGGAAGCAGCCCAAATGATGCTTCCCCACCTCCCTGCACAGCTGTCCATTCCAGTGAGAAGGTGGGGTGACAAGTCCCCCCACTCAGCTGTTGAACAGTCAACTGTGTGGGGCGGTGGCGAAGTGTCAGCAACATATTTGAATAGTGTGAAATGTGGGCCATAACACCAACTCAGCCAAATTTTCATTGCAGGATTGAATCAAATTTTCAAGTGAGAATAGGATAAGGGAAGCAACCTAATTGTTCCTCTATCTGACACAGTAAAGCATGGATCAGGCTCTTGTAAATTGTATTATCAGAAGCCATTAACCCAACAAAAACATAGCAGTTTGCCATTCTTAACTACAACGAGATTAGCCAAACACAAATCAGCCAAAGCATGCTAATGAGGAGGCAATTATTCATCTCCCATAATATTACTGGACTGGCCTTGGTGGCCTAAGATTTCAACACCTGCTTCATAAGAATACACATAATATCCATATTCAAAGCCATCATTTACTGCATATAGTAAGGAAGACTGTTACCTGTCTGTCTCACATTTGAGCTTCTACCTTTTAAAAATGAGCTAATGGAACAGAAGACCTTTAGTCTGAACCAAACAGGACCCTTTTGTGACACTGTTCTGTGCATAACACTATCACAAATACAGATATTTAGGGTTAAGTGACTATGTGTTCTTTGCAATCTCCCCTTGTCCCTTTGGTATCTATAAGACTAACAATATTCTCTAATAATTGTTTTTCAAGTTTTTTATTTTCTCTCAACAGCCTACAAAAGAGAGAAAATTTCACAATGGACAATAGATTAAAAGTGTATTTTCAATTCACACAGCTTCACATAGCTAGTATTATAACAGCAACTTTGTTCTCTGAAAGATATTGTTTCAGTCTTTGTTTGCAAAATACAAAACGCCAGTAGCTCAATGTACTATGAAGGTATTTTTTGTAAAAACAAAAACAAAACCTAGTTTGAGAATTTTTCATTTTGGAAAGAACATATTTCTCAAAGTACAAGCCATTCTAAGTGACTGCTATGCAGAAAGTCTAGTAAGTCAAATTCTCTTATCATGTTAATGACTTGGGAGTGGGGAGGGTAGAAATTGTTCCTGAATAAGAAAGTTATCAGAGACCTTGGCTTCTGAGAAATTAGGACAATATGCTATTTAATACACATCTAACCTCTGTTCAAATGGATGACACAGCATTAAGTTACACATAGGTCAGAATCCTCTTGGTGTAACTTTTGCTGTGTAAGCTAGATGACATCATCATCTGGGATGGAAATATTTAATTTAAATTAATTAAAAACTTCTTAATCTTTTCCACTTCAGGTTCCAATTCTTCCAAGGGCTCCCTTTTGCCCTGGGGAAGACTTTGGAAGCCTGGGGATGGGGTACTGAGACCTTCAATAGTAAAAGATCACTGCTGTCAGGCTATAGGAACTTGGCAGGCTGTGAAAGTGCCAGTTTAGGGTTAACAGTCATGTCGAACAAGGAGATCAGCTCGCTGAAGAAACATCTGTGCAGGTATGCCCTATCATCTGGGAGAAAGAAAGGAGGCAGCATTCAAGGACACAAGCTGTTTTCCTGTAATAGTAAATTAATGAATTGAAACGATCTGAAGAGTTGGGAAGGGGGAAACTTAGGAGGAGAAGTTACTTTTAAGGAGGAAGTTACCACCTCAAGGCTTCTATGTTTGTAGCCACATGATTGGTGAATGTTGATTAGGGGATAATGGGATATCAGAAGGGCAAGAAGACTCATCATACTAGATATGACATATCTAGTATCTAGATATCTGGGGCTACATATATGAATATTAGCACCACAGGTGCCTAGGAAAACTGGATCCTCTCCCTGAAGCAGCAGGTCTACTTACTGTTTTCTCTGTAGTGCATATGGCTAGCATCATTTTTGTCATACCAGTCTGGGAAGTCATTTTAAAATCCATCTTCAAATTCTGGTTGCTCTTGTTTTCTTATAAGGAGCAATGTAATTTGTTTCTATTAGCTAAGTATTTTGTGTTATGTATTAACTGATAAATAATTAACACTTGATTATTAAGCAGCAATAATTAACAGTGCTGAACAGTTGCTTTGTGTAAGGTGATTTTTTCCTTTTGAATATATACCTTAATTCTGGCATAACATGTTGAATAGCTCTGGGTATGTCCATGTTACAGCAGTATTGTGAATTGTTCAACACAAATCATTAGAGAAATGTCCATATTTGTAATGATAATCCTGCTCAACTTCGCATCTCTCTTAGCTTGATTATCTAACCTGTGCATTCTTTAAAACTTGAAATACAGTGGTGCCTCACTTAGCAATGTTAATCCTTGCAGCAAAAATTGTTGCTAAGCGATTTCATCACTAAGCGATATTTAAACGCCCATAGAAACACATTAAAACACCATTAATGCATTCCTACGGGCTTAAAAACTAACCTTAAGCGAAAATCCTCTATAGGGGTGACCATTTTCGGTGCCTCTAAAGCATTTTGTTTACCCGGTGGCCATTTTGGAATCGCCAATCAGCTGGCCGAAAATGGGGGCTTTGCGATGATCGCTTCCCTGCGATCATCGCAAAGTGAATTTTCCCCATAGGGACCATCATTAAGCGATCGCAAAAACGATCGCAAAAACATCGTCGCAAAGCGATTTCTTCATTAAACGGAGCGATCGCTATGCGAGGCACCACTGTATATGTGTCTGAAGATTTGAAGTTAAAACTATTCTCTAGCATAGACCAAGTACAGACACAGAAGTAATTCTGCTTCTTCTAGTTCTCTGACACCGACTAATAGTTAATGATAAATAGTGACCTAAAATTTACCAACAGGTCTTTCAAATTTAGCATCATAACCCATTTTTATGTAAATTTTCATAGCTGCTCTGATTTGAAACCAGATCATTACCTATGTTGAAGAAAGTATGCTATATTTGCTAAACAAAAAGTTTTCTTTACTAAGTAAAGTAATTTCATACATTTCTTCCCCTTTTATATATAGTGTTGGTGTACTTTTTGCTTACGCTGCTAACCAGCATCTCACAATGCAAGTCAGAGGAGCAAAGAAGCTGGTGAACAGTAATTTCAAAGACCTGCGGACTTTTCTAAATGATACTCCTGGGGTAAAGTGCCAGCTTTTTCTTATAGTTATTAAAGGAGAAAGTTGAAATAACAGTGATGCTCATAACAAAGTGGTTCAGCTAGATACTGTGCAAAACAGTGGTTTGTTTTAATCAGCATTAACAGCCCAGGTAGTAGAACAAACCTTGAAATGTTCAAGAAGCAAAACATGTTTTTTTATATATTGGAGTTCTATACATTTACTCCTGTTCCCAAAGTCCAATAGATTCTAGAAGTAACGTGATACACATGACTATAGCTATGATTTTTCAAAGTAAGCTTCTCAAACCTTTGGTTCTTTTAATCCTGGTTTGGTTTAAATTCTGAAATTGAGCCAGTGTATATGTATATTCCATAAAGGAACTCTAACATGTAATCCATGCTCTGTTTACTCTCATATACATTTGATCTTGACCATTATTATTATTATTATTATTATTATTATTATTATTATTATTATTATTATTATTATTATTATTATTATTATTATTATTATTATTATTATTATTATTATTATTATTTATTATTATTATTATTATTTCATTCATTCATTCATTCATTCATTCATTCATTCATTTTGGTTTATGTACTGCCCATCTGGCAGCCAGGGCCACTCTGGACAGTTTATAGCAGATAAAACTACAGAGTAACAAAATAATACATATACAACGTAATAATACAATTGGGGCATAAATCAAATATCATAAAGTGCAGTAAAACAAGTACAATACAGTATAATTATCCATATTGCCTCATCTCTGACACACAGAATCATAGAACTGTAGAGCTGGAAGGTAGTCCAAGGATCAAGTCCACCCCTTGTCAGTGCAGGAAATCCACAGCTAAAATATCTGAGATAGGTGGCTATAAACATCTGCTTAAAAACCTCCAGTGAAGGAGAGTCCACCAGTCTCTAAAACAGTTAATTCCTTTATCAAATGGCTCTTGCTATTAGCAAGTTCTTCCTAATGTTTAGTTGAAATCTCCTTCCTTGTAACTTGAATCCATTTCTCCTGGTTTTACACTTTCTCCTCCTATTTCCTCTTCTTTCCTTGGATATTTTCCTTTTCTTTTTCTTGTCCCATGGCACTTTCAATATATGCAATCTACATATGGAAGTGGGCATGCAATGGCCTTAGGAAATCAATGTGAGTACTGGCATTGATTCACCATCAGTGGATACAAGGGCAGTACTATAATATTTGGTTTGAAAGGCTGAACTCTTTTGTAATAGTTTTGAAGCTGGTTGGTATCTTTGCTGCTTATATTTATTGGTATTTGTATTTGATTTATTTTTTATCTTTAAATAAAACTTGTACTTTAATTTTTTAGCAAATTGATTATTTGGTGAGTCAGTATAACACTACCAAGAAAAAAGCACTTTCTGACCTTAATAGTAAGTATATTTAACAGAACTTTCTTCCTTAAGAATATGTTTTCTCAGCCTTAGCATCCTATTTGCAGCTGTAGGTTACTGGGATAAGCACAGTGAAATTTTTCATATTTGTTTAGTTTTGGATTCTTTTGTGAGGTGCCTCTTTCGTTTTTATGTTTTTTGTACACCAGTTCTTTCCTTTACATAAAGGGGGCTGCCTCTTTTGAGTCATTTCGCTTTGTTACTCCATTTATTTTCTGGCATGAGTAGTCCAAAAGCCCCAAAGAATTCTTAAAACTACTCCAGTTGTTGCAGGATGAAATGGGAGAACCACAAGTGTACTTTCCTTTTTCTTTGCTCCTTAGAGGAGCAGTAGGTTGGAAGTATGAACTGTCTTATTTGCAAGAGCATCTCTGTTCTAGAAAGAAATGATACCAACTAACTTGGACAACTGGCCTTGGTCTTTCCTGCATTCAGATTTGTGATTGTAAAGGTTAAATGGAAAAATTAAAAAGAATATGCGGAACACTAAAATTGATAGATGGAGCACAATACATGGTGATTGCCGCCGTGATTGTGCTTTGCCTACCTGCTCGGATGAGACGAGCTCAGGCAAATGACGTCGAGGTGGAGGGGAGGGGGCCTTGGTGGAGCCTTCATCTAGCCTGCCTCCCCCAAGATCAGCCTCTTTTGAGTCACCAACTTCACGGCCCACCTGCCTACCCCTTAATAAGTAAGAATGGGAGTAGCTGGTTGCCTCAGGGCTGGATGGGAATTTTTGGTCTACCTCCACAATTGGCATGTATCAGGAAGCAGATGGGTTTTCGCCCATCCCATTCTTACTTCAGGTTCAATAGGTAATGTGAGGAGGACATATTAATTCAGTCACAGCTATGGGTAGTGCGAAAAGAGATTTGATGAGTTCCTTTGGGACAGCAGAGGAGAGTGTCAATCAGCCCATTTCCCTGATTGGTAGAACAAGGAGTTATATGAAGGGGAATGGGAGTTAAGGGAATCTCCCAGGCAGCAGTGCACCTAGCGTCACGAGGCTCTGTGACTGAAGCAGTGGGAGGATTCCTGCAGCTGGGCTGCTGAAGAAGTGTTAGTTAGAGTGGTGGCCTGATCCAGCTGTAAATGGTACACTGGAGTCAGAGGATAATTTTGCACTACAGTAGGCCCCCTTAGAAAAAGGGAACTCAGTGTTTTAAAAGTTAATGAAGTTAATGTAGCCCTCGTTTTATCCAACACCTGTGTCTTGTCTCTTTATTTCAGGCTGGGCAGGCAATGTGGAAACTTAAAAAAAAAAAAAGGAAAATGCAGAACATTAACATTGATAGATTGGTTTGATATCAAAACTATATGATCTATCACTCTTTCCTGCTTTAGGGGCAATGGCCAAAGTGTCTTTTTAAAACAACAAATACACTTTTATATATTCTAGCTAAAGGCTCAAGAAAAAACATACAGTTTAGCGTTTGTTATTTGGTTATGTGCCATTTCAGTTATGATAAAAAGTGTGAAGATGTACAAATAGAATAAAAGTAGATTTGCATCTGAGTCTTTTTCTGCTGTCCTTTTCCTAACAGATGTTGGCTCATTGCTTGGTAGCAGAGTCCAAGAGCAGCTGGGAAAGGAGGTGCGCCCTGCACTTGATGCAGCCCTAACCATGGCTGGAGGTAAAGAAGACACTCTTCTTATTGCTAGTCTCCATATCTACTTTTCTATGCTTCTGCAGAGACTTTCAAAGATTCAGATAACTTGTTTTGCACACCCATGGCCTGAATTTAAGATGTAGGTTTTCATATTATTTAGGGCACCACTCCATTCCATGTAGGAAACACTTGAAGCATGGGGAAAGGGTTTCAAAATCTTTGTAATCATATTATTATTAAAGTAAAAGTTTATAAGCAGTGAACAAAATAAACCTACTGTATTTTTTGCCCCATAAGATGCACTTCCCCCCCAAAATGTGGGGGGGGAGTCTGTGCATCTTATGGAGCGAAGGCGGCAATTTTGCCTATGCTGGCCCCGTGGGGGGAGCATCGCAAGGGTCTGAGTGAGCCTTCCCGGACCCTTGTGCCACTCCCCCACCCCCCACGGGGCCAGCGTGGGCAAAATCGCCAGCTTCTGGGACTCTTTTGAGGCTTGGGAAGCCTCAAAAGAGTCTCAGAAGGTGGCAATTTCGCCCCCTCTGACCCCCGGGGGGCAGGGTGAGTCTCTAAAGGGTCCTGGAACACACCCTAGGACCCTTTGGAGGTTCACCCTGCCCCCCCCCGCCCCCAGGGGGGGAAACAGCGCCCACTCTGGCCGCGGCCTCCAAAGGGTCCTAGGGTGTGTTCCATAAGACGGACCTCTCCATAAGGCTCACCAATTTTTAGGGGAAGAAAACATTTTTTTCCCTGTTTTCTTCTTGTAAAAATTTGGTGTGTCTTATGGAGAGGTGCGTCTTATGGAGTGAAAAATACGGTACTTTCAAACTGATAGGTGGCAGCAATGCTTAACCGTTTCTTCTGCTATGTGTCCTTGACTTCCAGATGTTTCTTCAGATGGGATTCTGGAGATGTGCCTGGCATATTACGGAAAAATTTAGCTGAGGGGAAGGGTCATAGGGGAACATGACATGCAAGAGATGTATGAAATATTTTGCTCCCATTCGCTCATTTGTTTGTCTAAAACAGAATTTTTCATTGGAATGCATTGCATCTGTTTTGGAAACACAGAGCCTGTTCCCACTGCTGGAATAAACTGGCAAAGGGATAGAGTCTTTGAACCCACATAGGCTTTAGCTCCAATCCAAATTTTTTGTGTCAGTGTATACATCCTCACACCAAACCTCCATTGTCGCCTGTCAAACAAGGTGGGCTGCGCACATGGGCAGTAGACAGATGGTGGGGGAGTGATTAGGCAGATTGGGGGTGATCAGGCAGGCAATGGGGGGTGATTGGGCAGGCAATGGGGCAATCAGGTAGGCAATGGGCAGGTGATGGAGTGATCAGGAAGATGATCAGGCACGTGATGGGGCAATTGGACAGGCAATGGTGGAGTGGTTGGGCAGGCAATGGGAATAAATCTGGCAGTCACTCGCTTTTTGCAAGCATTGTGCTTTTATTTTGTTTTAAAAAATTCCTGCTATCAGTCGTGCCTCGCTTTACGATTGCCTCGCATTATGACGAAACCACATTACGACGATGGTCTAAATGGGGTTTTTTTTTTGCTTTGCAATGATTGGTTCCCTGCTTGGGGAACTGATTCTTTCCAAGACGATTTTTAAAACAGCTGAAGGGCGGTTTCAAAATGGCTCCCCACTGTTTTCTGGGACGGATTCCTCGCAAGACAGGCAGCGAAAACGGCTGCCCTATGGAGGATCTTCACTGGATGGTGAGTTTTGACCCCATTGGAACACATTGAAGGGGTCTCAATGCGTTTCAATAGGGTTTTTTTTGCTTTATGATGTTTTCGCTTAACGGCGATTTTCCTGGAACGGATTATCGCCGTTAAGCGAGGCACCACTGTATAGGGCTGTATCAGATAGCAGGATTTTTTTAAAAAGTGGAACAAGCATTCACATACTGTATGTGAAACTGATTCCAATTTCATATATGCTGCAATATAAACAGACCTCTGCCAGAGGGGCAGAAAAACCTGTTCCCCTAGCACAGTTGTCCTGTGCATGCTAAAAATTAAATCTTGAGTTTTTTCAACAGAACCTAGGTTTTATTGTCAGTGGGGCCAAGCCCACACATTCCCAGATCTGGGTCTGCTGCTTAACATGTAGTTCCATACTGAATACATATACAGTTCAATGCACAACAACTGGTAACATGTAGGCAGATAGGATTTCTATGTTAAAAGTAGAAACTGTGTGTTGGCAAATTAAAACATTTTCGTAACACACCAGAACCTGTTCTCATCCTCCACTCTTTGCTTTATTTCTCTGTTTGTCTTGAAGTCAAAGTGGAAAGGGCCATTAAAGGTAAAATCTCCTGAATGTGATGTGCTTTCCTCTCTTACTAAAACCTCTTGTGCAGTTTTTTTTTATTTCTCTTGTGTTCCACAATTCATTGTTTTAGCTTTATAGGATGGATCGCAGAAGTAAAGCTTAATCACCTATTGGTGCCAATTATTTGCCTTTCAAAAACTAATTGAAGTCAGTAACGCTATTCTGTAGCAAACAGTTTTTGGGTTGAAATCATAGTGCTTGTACTCTAGTAGCAATATGTCAGTTCTATCTAGTAAGTTCAGAAATGATGGGAACCTTGTTGCTCTTCTCACATGTAGCTTCATTTGTGGTCTAATGGCCTTGTTCCATATTTGCAGGCAAAGGGAATGAGGAAAAAGTGTAGCAATTTTAAGGGTATGATTTTGGGTTTGTTTTTTTCTGGTTAATTTTGGCCCATGAAGATAGAACACTTGACACTTAACAATGATTGGTACTTACCAATCATTGTTACAAAACCTCTAGGTTAATATCTCTAAATTTCTAGTGAATATTTGTCTCACTGAGTTAAACTGTGCCACCAAAGAGCATGATGAGGGAGATACTTATGAGACCTATTTGTCACCTTGAAACTGGAAATGTTGAGAGATTGGAAACTTAAAAACTTATTGCAACTAACACAAACCATGGCTTGCAAATCCACTTCAAAACAATTGTTACATGTTTGAGTTTGTTGTCAGTCTGTAATCAGAGAATCATATGTATTTTTATCTATGGCTAAGTTGAGCATTACATTTAAAAAGGCTTATGCCACTTACACATATATGTGTATAAAAAGGAAACATTTCTGCTTTAGCATACCTTTGTAGTATGTTCACAAAAGTCAAAGTAGACTGTAAGAATGTGCATATTTCAGTTGAGGAAGGCATTGCAGAATATTTGGTAACTGGACAGCCATGGACCGGTTCTATGCTTAAAGGCAATTGCTTGCTTATCCACTAGCCAGCCAAGGAGCAAGATGTGGAGGAAATGCATATGATCAACAGGTTTCCTTACAGGCAGTTGGAGCTGGTGGTTGAAGCTCCAGTATACCACTTTTTAGTTGTTTTGGTAATTGGCTCTTCAGGAAAACTTCTCACTAAATAAAGCTGTAGTGACATATGGCTGCAGTGTGACAAGGCCTTTAGTAACAAATGCAAGTGAAAATTTAAGTCTAAGAATTAAAATTCTTAGCTGATTTAATTTTTATTTTTTTTAAAAAAATTGTTGCAGCTATTAGAGAAACAAAGGAAGCACTGGAGAATGTGAGTGTATCTGTGGAAGTCTTACAGGAAGGCACTGAGAGGCTTCATTCCAACTTGACAGAAGTGAAAGAACACTTGATCAACACACTTAATGATTCTGCATGCACAGCTGCCCAAGCTGCATCAACTTGCAACGTCATCCGGAATTCCTTAAATCAGCTAGACATCAATGCCAACTTTAGCAAGGTGAACTAATATTCTGTGAAATCTTCTCAGTAGCCTAATTCTTACTGAACACCACATCTTTGATCAGAAGCACTTTATATTGAGGGCAGAGCCAGTGTGACATAGTTTCAGACTAGGACTCAGAACACCTGGGTTCAGATTCCTGCTCAGGAATGGAAACTCACTGGGGATCTGACAATGGTAAGCCACTTCTTGAACATCTTATATCCCTTTAAAATCGTCAAGCACAAAATGACATGATGTCATATCACATTATGTTAGAGGTCCACACGACTTTCATATAAAGATGTTCCTTGGACAGAAATAAACTAGCATGTCAAAAGAAGTGTGTGTGTCTGGCCTTCACTCTGGGCTAGCCCTTCCCATAGTGTGCAAGATTTCTATAATATAACCAGGATATGTTTTAAAATATGAACATTAAACATTTGTGAAACGTATTGGTACTGTGAATTTATATTGTTCAAACACAGGTTTGCCTTACAGTGAGATTTTGACCAGGATGTTCCAGTCATATTTGTTTTGAATAAAATATACCTGCCACCAAGCTTATAACTGTTTCAGGCCAAATGCACCAAATTGCCTCCTGAAGTTTTTCTGGGGGCAAGACTGACTATTTGGGGGCAAAATTATAACTTTTATTTCTGTTATGGGGTGTGGTAAACCTTTGGGGCTGCACGGGTTTGACATACTGTTGCCATCATACATCTAGGGAAGTTGCTGGATTCTCTTAAATGAATCTGGAAAATATTCTACTTATAAACAGTTTAAATTTGGTCAGAGAGTTGGATACTGTCAGAGGTTAGCCTGTATATCTGTTTTTATATGAAAGTTTGAAGACTTAAATGGATGAACTATATGTAAGAATTGGATGCAAGTGAAGGAATTTCATGTGGAGAGTAGAATTAACTTGAAAGCATCTTTTTCCCTCTTCTTTCAGTTGCCAGGTGTGAACGCTCAGCTTGCCAGAGTCAATGAAGTCCTTAAAATAGACCTATCCAGTCTGGTTCAGAAAGTATGTAAATAAAAGGTGTAGCTTTGTTATTCCAACAGAAGGTTACTTAATGCTCAGCAATTACTTACCTGTAGGTTTCTAAAGGTGCAATAAAATGTTCAAAAAGGCCAGTGGAAAAGTACCTTGTGTACAGAGGAACACACACAGCTTCGCTACCAATGTTTCCCACATTTCTGTTGGCTGAATTAAAATGGGGGCACACTTATTTATTTTATTTTGTGTCATATGTAGAGCTAGAACACCACCCAAAAAAGCTTAAATGGTGAATTAAGCACAATTATATTGGAGCTTCTGTAATCAAGCTCTCATACATAGCTTGAATTGGATTATTCTCTTCCTCAAAGCCTAGTTCTTATTAGGTTGTTTTAGCTGATTCTGTTGCCTTATTTCACTCCTTTAACTAACGGAAATTGGTGTTGTGTTGCCTGGCTAGATGTTCCTTCCCTGAGGACTAGACATATAGGGTAAAGAAGATGTTGCCCAGTGCCAGTACTTTGGTATCATAACCTTTAGATTTCTAGCTCCCAAAAACTCTAGCCAGCACAGCCAATGGCCAAGATATTTCAGAGTTGTAGTCCAAGAACATGGATTGGAACCACTGGTCTAATGGTTAGTGAGTTGACTCCTCTGTAAGCTCCAATGATTCAAATGGACCTATTTAGTATGCTAAATTTAGTCATAACCAGAATCAATGGAGCCTACAGAGGAGTTCTCACCAAATCTCCTCTGATTCAGTGGGCCTGTGCTAGTGTGACTTGCTGTGCTAAGCAACAGGATTTCAGCCAACGGCTATTATCTTATTGGCAATCTTTTTTGCATGTGAGATTTTGTAAATTATGGTGGGAAATTGCTGCTCATTAAAGATATGCTGACCATAGTCTTGGTTACACACATGGTTGTACAACTAGGAACATGTCCAACATCTTATCAATTAATAGCAATTTGCTGCTGCAACTTACATGGCTTTCACATACAACCCCAGTAGCCAATGTCTTCATATAATCCTTTCTTTTGGAAGTTTTGTAAATACAGTCCAACAGTTTTGGGATTGGAGCCTCAATTTTGTGGATTCTGCAAATCCATCTTTCTATCTTCTCAAGTTTTCAGACTAATACTCAATCTAGAAGTATTAGACTGAATTTTTTTTGCAGCTCTCAATTTGAATTTTTATGTGCAAATGTACATACTTGTTAACAGTAATATATGAAGATGAAAAACGATAGATCACATCAACCAGCTTTTTCAGTACTGACTGAAGTTATTCCAGTCCTGTAGTTTGTTTCCCGTCCATCATGATACAGTGTTGGAAATTCTCCAAAGCTCTATTTGCAGAAATTTACACAAGTTTTGTAAATAACTGAATGATACAGATACCTTTTAGGGTTATATAGTTAAAAAGTTAAAAAATAAACCTGATTTTAAAATATCAGCAGAAGGACCTTTATGAACAGTATTTGGTATTTACATTTGTGCAGAACTCCAGCTACGCAAGCCAGCACAGCAATATAATGAAATGCTGGTTGTGTACAACCCAGGCACTTGACCAGCACCTTGTAAATTGCTATGGCAGTCTTTCAGTTGTCATTCCATGACAGAAAAGTTGAACAGGACCCTGGCCTGTGTATTTCACTTAACTTTCTTAAGAAATAAAAAAATAAAATAAAAGACCCATGCACTTGTTAAATAATATGATATTAAGTTAAATCGAATAATTTCCTTGTTTGTTTGGTGATGTTGTTCTCCTAATAAGGCAATCCTCCAAATGTTCATGATTTACTTATTTAACTGCAGATTGTTTCTTTTCCTGTTAATCTGTTTCAATTACCTCAGGTAGCTAATCATTCATTTTCTAATACAACTGCCAATCTAATGTAAAAAATTCAGAAGAAATAATTGCTCTTTGAGAATGCATAATATTGGCCTTCTAAAAATAAAATATTTCAAAGAAACATATAGTAAGGTTATAACAAGCAAGAATGTGCTTGGCAGGGCTGGTGGATCATTATTTAATCTAATCTTCCAGAGAACTGAGTTAAATCAAATTTACCCTGCTCAGTCACTTTTAAGAAAATATGTGTATAGTCAGATGGAGTAAGTTGCATTAAAGGATGATTGTGATTTATGGTCCATTTTTTTCAGAATAGGACTAAATATAAAGAGTGTTATAAATCATTGACTTGCCTGCTTTAAAGATAGAAGCAAACGTATTGGTCTTTTGTTGTCAAGCTGGTGTTGGACATGTGAATTTTTAATTTTAGGGCTATGCAGCATTTAACAATACTCCAGATTTGGTACTCAATCAAACAAGGAACATTTTGTCAGGTAAGAATTAATTATGTAGTAGTTTAAATTACTTACTGTCATTCTAATTGTTATTTAAGGAAGTCCTTATTGTAAATAATTTATTCTGAAATAAACTGTGTCAAATACAGATTTTTATTCATTATTATTAAGAGGTTATTGTTTAAACATCTAGTGTAGTGGTAGGGATTTTAAGGCGGAAATAGATGTTGATTTAATTGCTAGTCCCTACAGGAGGTGGAAGGAGGGAAAAAACAAAGGGGGAAGGATCTCTGGGACTGTGTAATCAGGGAAGATGCTGAAAGGAGGAGCTGAATATGAATTACAATGTGAGAGGGGATGTGGTGCACCTCCCTGTATGTACACCTTGGCTTACAAATGCTTAGTGGGAGAGGATGGACTACCTAGACCAGCAATTGTCAACCAAGGCTACATGTAGTGCTGATAGGATGCAGAAGTAGCCTACCCAAGTCCTAGTTTTCTCCTAAAATTACTAAATGTTTCCTGTTCCTCAGTCTCCATGTTCTCCTGAAAGTAGGACACAGTGTTACCGACTAAATCCATTTGTCAGTGATTATTCATGATCCATCTATGACCTTTTGGCTTATAAATATGTATACAATTTTCACAAGAGCAGCCATGTTAGTCTTTTTCCCCCCTTTCCTTTCTGTGACACAATATTTTATGTATTCTTGAAGGCTTTCACGGCCAGGATCCGATGGTTGTTGTAGGTTTTTCGGGCTGTCTGGCCATGTTCTTGAGGTTTTTCTTCCTAATATTTCACCAGTCCCTGTGGCTGGTGTGGTGCACTAGTCCCCCTAAGAGGTGCCAGAGAGTCTGACAGGCTGCTTACCTATCACCTTTGCGCTGGGGCAAGTCTCAGGACCTCAGCAGTGCATAGCGTAAGCCCTTTGAACAAGTCTGACCTTAAAAGAACATTTTACATTTACTCAGTACTTTGCAAGTACAGACACATGGGCCTTGTGATTCCTTAGAACTCACAACAGCTCAGTTAGGTAGGACTCTTAAAGATAGCTAGTTTGTGGCCCTCTCCACCTCCTGGATTTAACTAGACCCTGCTGTTCAAGAGACCTGTCCTTTTGTAGAATTGTTATAATTAATTTTTATTAGGAAAATAGAGTTTCATTAGAATCAGTCGATTCGATTTCGATACCTTTATTGGCATATGAACAGACAGGAGCAAAACGTAGATACAAACCAAACAATAATCAAGAGAAAAGTAAAGTGAGAAATACACTCAAAACAGCAAGTAATATCATAGGTTGTGGGTTAAAATAGAAATTTCCAATAGATATCCTGCAACGGCAGATGTAA